CTTCCCACTGCGGTTAAACTCCTATACGTGCTTTGACTAATAGTCCAGGGCTCACAAAACTCCACCTTCAAATACGGACGGGGCCTCCATCTCCCAATTAGTTCCTATCCCAATTATGTCCACTCAGCAGCAAACGGCGGTGGTCGAGGGGTTTCTGCCCCAGAAGATCAGGGAGTACATCAAGGCGACCTACCCGTTACAAGGGGCCCACGAAGCAGTGGCGTTACCCAATCTGGCCCAACCAGGGTACCTGGCCGTGTATCGCAACAAGTCGCTGCCCCACCAGTTGGTGAACCGCCCCCATCCTCAGGTGGCGACCCTCTACGACATGTTTGAGTGTGCGCTGACCTGGCACGCCGATAAGCCCGCTTTGGGCACTCGTCCCCGCTTGTATGATGGCACCTATGGCGACTACCAATGGCAGACTTACCGTCAGTTCTATGAGCGCCGGTTAAACTTTGGCAGTGGGCTTTTCTTTATTTTGGCTAACAACCCGTATAAGTCTCCCTCAGACAATTACGACTACGACCCCAAGGCGACGGAACTGCCGTTTGTGGTGGCGATGTACTCGCACAACAAGCCCGAGTGGGTGATCACCGACTACGCCTGTGTCGCTTACTCGGTGTGCAACACCGCTCTCTACGACCTGCTTGGTCCCGACGCTTCTGAGTACATTTTGCTGTTGACGGAACTGCCCGTAGTGGTGGGGACGTTGTCTAACATCAGTAAGCTCGTTGATTTGAAGAAACAGCACCCTCAGCTGTTGGCTAAGCTTGTGGCGTTGGTGCTGATGGACCTTTTGGGACCGCTGGACATTCGGTTTAGGGAAAAAGCCCGTGAAGCTAACATTGCCGTGTACGATTTTGAGGAGGTGGAAGCGATGGGAGCAGCGTCAAGACTTCCTCCCATCCCGCCTAATGCCGAAACGTTATACACCATTTCTTTTACCCTGGGTACGTCGGGAACGATGCCTAAAGGGGTTGAATTGAAGCATAAGCTGGCTGTTTCAGGGCTGATGTTGCGGGTCACTGTGGGCAACAACTTGGAGAACTACACTGCCTACTCGTTCCTTCCCTTAGCCCACATTTACGAGAGATCGGTGTGCCACTCTAATTTGTTTAAAGGAGCCCAAATCGGCTACCCCAAGACTAATACCCTCGCCTCGATTCTCGAGGATATTAAGCTTCTCCGTCCCCATGTGTTAGCGTTTGTTCCCAGGGTGTTTCTGCGTTTAGAAGCTCAGATCAAGGCGTTGACGATTAACCACCCCGATGCTGAAGTTCGGGAACGGTTCAAATGGGCCATTGATCGCAAGATGGCGCTCCAGAGAATCCAGGAAGGCGACCCTGGTGTTGACGCTGAGGCCGATGCCATTATTGCTCCGCTTAGAGAGCACTTTGGCATGGACCGCCTCATCTCTTTCTCCACCGGTTCGGCGCCTACTGCCCCCGAGCTGATCCAGTTCGTTAAAGCTGCGTTGAACGTCGGTGTATCTCAAGGGTTCGGGATGACGGAAACGTTTGCTGGGATGTCTACTTCCCCTGCGTACGATGTTAAACCGGGCTCACTGGGGGCGATTGCCATTACTACGGAAATGAAACTCAAAGAACTCCCGCAAATGGGGTATGTGGCGAATGATCCCAACGGTCCTAGGGGTGAGCTTTTGCTTAGAGGCCCCCAGATCTTTGAACGCTATTACAAGAACCCTGAGGAGACGGCTAAGGCAATTGACGCCGACGGCTGGTTCCACACGGGGGACGTGGCGTGGGTTAACCCCAAAGATCTGAACCGGATGAGCGTGATTGACCGGGTCAAAAACTACTTGAAGCTTGCCCAAGGCGAATACGTCACCCCCGAACGGTGTGAGAACTTGTACATCGCCATCAACCCCATCATCACCCAGCTCTTCGTGTACGGCGACTCCCACCGCGACTACTTGGTGGGTGTCATTGGCTTGGACGAGAACTTGATGACGAAATACGTTTCGAAGATTCTTGGACGCCAGTGTGACGACTACGAGGCGACGATCAAGTTGTTGAATGAGCCTGAAGTGAAGCGTAAGGTGATTGGATACATGAACCAGAACATGGGCGACAGATTGCAGAGCTACGAGAAGGTGAAGAACATGCGGTTTGCCCACATGCCGTTGGGTGCTGCTGGCGGCGACTTCTTGACGCCGACGTCGAAGTTGAAGCGGCAGGTGGCCACGAAACATTTTAAGCCGTTGTTTGACGAGTTGTACCAGGAAGGGTCGTTGTTTGAGAGTAAGTCGAAGTTCTAGAGGTATATACGTGTCCTGGCGACACTATAAAAATGGTATTTCAGAGTAATTGTAGGGTGGTGGCGGTATTGGTTTGAGCTTGAAATAAGTAGTAGGTGAAGCACTTGGCCACCAACAGCATACACAATAGAGCTACATATTCTACGAGTTCAAACCATGACTTTGGTTGAATGAGTCTCTTATTGTCAGTGATCTCGGATTCCTTACTTTTCGTAGACACTCCAGGCTCTCGCACTCCGCACTTTATTTCCCCACCCAGGTGGCCCCCGCAGCTGCTAGATTTGTCTTCTCACTAGCCACCCCCGGTCAGAGTATGCCTGCTCTCCTTGGGATTTGTGGGGCTTGATTTTGAATCCTGATTGAAGCTTGCGAAGAGGAAGATTATACCTGCTGGCTTGTGTCGGCAAAGAGATCATAAACTGAACGACCCACCCCACCAGGTATGCGAATAGTTACCGTTCTCACGGCTTAAGAACATCAAACTTGAGTGATCTAAAGACTCTCGGTGCTGGTTTCCTAGTGCTTCGGCCAAGTGTTTAACGTATTCCGGCAATTGTGGTTTGAGAGTATTTATTATGGTCATGGTGGTGTGGCCGAGATGTAGATCAGCCTAAAGATTGAGCACTCCTTCCTTAATTATATTCTACTTGTAACTTCGTAACATAGTATAAGGGTTTCTCATCATCTGATTGATGCTTTAGCCCTTCATTCCGTTTATAGTGCGATTCAATCAAGGATGCACAAGATATGTTGGGGCACAATGACCAACTGAGACTTATCAAGTTGAATATTTCATCATTAATGATGAAAACATTGATATTCTCGGTTTCCTGATGAGTTTAAACTTGCTAAGTCTACCGCCAAAATACCATAATGAGCCAAAGTAATGAGGGAAAACTAATCGATGAACTCACTAAAACGTGACTCTTGAATGAAATCTAGTTGCTCTCTCTGGTAAACCATCACTACTTATCCAACTTGTAGTCCTTAGTATAGTGAGTATAGTGCGGCAAAGAAGCATCGCTCTAAAATCACCCAAATCTTAACTAACAAACTCAAACCTCATACCAATAAACTCTACATAACTTTACCTTCAAATACCACCCCCTCCCATTTCCGTTTTACCCCTCCTTCCGTTAAATTTCACCGCCACTCCATCTCATCGCACGACCTCATCGCGGGCGCACTTCGATCGCATCGAAACCTATACCCACACCCACACCCATCTTTCTTTCGCCCTTCCCCACCCACACCACCAAACAACACAACCAGACGCTATGGCCGACCCATTCCTCAAAGAGCCCAAGCGGAAGCGGCGGGACGTGCGTGACCCGTCGTCGTCACGAGCCAAGCGCAGCCGCTCCACCAAGGCTGCGCCCGCCCGAGCGTTGCCTGACGATGAGATTCTGCTGGCCAGCGACGACGACGGCGATACTCCCGATGCCGCCGACGTTGACGACGTTCCTGACGACCAGCTTGAATCCGACGAAGAGTTTGCCGGCGAGCTGGCCACCGATAAGCGGCGGCGGTTGGCGCAGCAGTACTTGGACAACTTGACCGGCCACGACCACGACGGCACCGACTTCGACGCCGCCGACCTCGACCGCGAGTTGATCGCCCAGAGATTGCAGACCGACGTTGCCGAACAGAAAGGGTATGTGTACAAGTTTATCGGCGATAAGATTGCGGCGCAGTTGGGCGAAGTGCCGGCGAAGACGACGAGAATGGGGTGCCGCGCCCCCACCGGGGTGGCTGCCTCGGGCAATGCTGTATACGTGGTGCTGAAAGACGGCCAACTCGTCAAGTATACTCACAAGGGCAACCAGGGAAAGCTTGTGAGAGTTAAGCACACCTCGGTGCGCCAGGCGTGCGCCCAAGACGAAACCTTAAGCTATAACACTGAGCTCACGTGTGTGGCGGCGCTGCCAAAGTTTGTCGTCACTGGCACTCAAGACGGCCACTTAATCATCTGGCTGTCGGATCTGATGACGTGTTTGAAGGTGCTTAGGACTCGGGGCGCCGTCCTCGCCATCACCTTCCGCCGCGGCTCCGACCAGCTCTACGCCGCCTGTCTGGACTTAAAGATCCGAACCTACTCGATTAACCAGTTCCAGCAACTCGAAATCCTTTACGGCCACCAGGACCAGATCACCGATATCTGTGCTCTAGCCAGAGAGACGTGTGTGCTGGTGGGGGCTCGCGACAAGAGCGCCAACTACTGGAAGATCGCCGAGGAGCTGCGGCTCACCTTCAGAGGCGGGGACAACCCCAAGAAGTTGCTGGTGACCGAGGATTACTTTGAAGGGCTGCTTGACTGTGTGCTGATGAACGACGAGACCCATTTCGTCACCGGGAGCGATAACGGCAACGTGCTGTTGTGGTCGCTTTCGAAGAAGAAGCCGTTGTTCACGGCAAGATTAGCTCATGGCGTCGAGCCGCAAATGACCACGTTAGAAGCCACTGCTGAGCGTGACGCTGCCGAAACCGATATCCCTCGACCCCAGCCGTACTGGATCACCGCGGTGCACGCCATCCCGTATTCCGATGTGTTTTTCACTGGGTCGTACCTGGGCCAAGTGAAAGTATGGAAATTGGACCAGGAACTGCAATTGCGTAAGTTCGAGCTCATTGGCGAAGTGCAAGTGAGAGGGTGTGTGGTGCTGATCACGCTGGAAGAGCTTGGCGACGGCAAAGTGGCGGTGATGATATTGACGCTGAAGGAGCACCGGTTGGGCAGCTGGCTTCTGGATAAGATCGAGGGGCGCAACGCGGTGGTGACGATGGTGTTTGATGCATAGAGACAGTATATAGACGTGTAATAGCATAGGATAATCACAGAAACTGAGAGAATTAATCATTGTACTTATTCCAATTACAGGTATGGGCTCATGTCGGTTATTCACATTCAATGGCACCAGTTATCCCATTAATGTTACTGATTATGCTCATTATGGGCCTGTCTATCTCGAACCCCAGCGAACATGGAATATTCTCCGTGGACGGGCCACAATAGAGGTTTACCAGGACGAACGCCACGAGGAGAACAGACAGACTCAATCAATTGCATCTGAAATGCCATGGTATCGGTTGTTAAATTTGCTGAGTTTTGGAGCGCGTCCAGTGCTATTTTTGAGTGGTCAAATGTGGGCTAGCATTGTAGCATTGATGTTTGAGTGTTACCCCGTAAGAGGTCATGATAGACGGTGCTATAAGTGATGAGATTGGATTGAAGAGATGGGCTACTGATAATTCAATCACTTCCCATTAAAGTAGTCCCTTGACATAGCTCATTGAATTGCCATTTAACCGTCCCTTAGTATTTTTCAGTTCATGGCTTGTCTTGGTGTTGTCTTGGTTCGCGTTCGCACTTGTCTCGGCCCATCATGTGACCGGGGGCCAATCACAACCACGCTCCGACGATCGCACCTGAGGTTTTTTTTCAAGCGATAAACCAACCCAGCTCACCGCTTACCACTAAGGATGTCTAACGTTGCCAAGCAAGCCGCCACCAAGATCGAATGGTCGAGAGTGATCTCGTCGCTCGGGTTGACCGGGCAAACCGCGGCGCTGTTGTCGGCGTTCAAGAAGAGAAACGACGACGCCAAGAAGGCGGTGTTGGACCTCGAGGCCCAGCCGCAAACCGTCGACTTTGCCCACTACCGCAAGGTGTTGTCCAACCAGAAGGTGATTGACGAAGTGGAAAAGTACGTCAAGTCGTTCACCCCGGCCAAGCCCGACGTGTCCAAGGTGATCGCCAACATCGAGATCTTTGAAAACGCCGCCGTCGACAACGCCAAGTTGACCGAGAAGTCCGTCACCGAGGAAATCAAGCAATTGCAAGCGACTTTGAAGGACATCGAGTCGGCGAGACCCTTCGACCAATTGACCGTCGACGACGTCGCCGCCGCTTCGGACTTGGACAAGAAGGTCACCTACATGGTCAAGAACGGTAAGTGGGAAGTGCCCGGCTACAAGGAAAAGTTCGGCGACTTGACGCTCATGTAACTGTTGCATATAGAGTTAAATTATTACGATTTTCGAGACATGTCCACCACGGTACCAGTGGAAATGTAGACCACTTTATCAAACCGCTCGGCAAAGGCAACGGGCACCGCCAGCACGTCCAGCCACCGGGTAACGTCAGGCTCAGTAAACTCGCCGTTATAACCACTGTCGATAGTATGGTCCATCATGGTGACCACCACGGGGATTCCGTAACTGTTTAGTCTTTGGACGTGGCGGTTCAAATTGGTATACCACGCCGTCGCCGACGTTGTAGGCAATTGTCGGAGTTCCCAGTAGAATAGGGATATGTTATCAATCACCACGGCGTCTATGAGCTCTTGGGAGTGGCTGAGGGCGTCAAGGGCGTCCATGAGCTCCTGGCTCAGGTCGCATTGCCATCCACTAACCACCACTGCTTTCGGGGCTAATTCGGTCACCACGTGGCGTAGCTGGCGGTTATCGGGGAACACAAGGAGAGCCAGCTCTCCTTCGAGGGTTATTGGAGGCTCGGGGAGGGTGAGTGACTGCCTGGCCACCACCACCGCCTCAAGTAGTGATCGCGTCTCCATACGCGGAAGCAAGACCTCGACTGTAAACATCTTAAATAATGATGGAATTGTGAATATGTTAATTGTTATTGTTTATGCCATTTGGAATAGTTTGAGGCTTGAATTGGTGAATATTTATGGGTATAGTCATGGTTGGTAGCAATACTTAAAAGGTAATCAATGGAGCCTTAGACTTCAATAAGAGCAAAGATGGAAAAACTAAGATTAAGCACCAATATTCAATCAAGTCGAATGGGTACCACATCTACAAGCGATTCAAAAATACAGGATATTTATTTTGATAAACCGAAAGCGGTTTCTATTTACAGAGTTAGTTCTTCTTCTTCAGCTTCTTCTTCGACCCCGAGGTGCCCTCGATGTACTTCAAAATGTCGTCCACCGATTGCGAAGCGATGGCGGGGTCAGGCGCAGTTTGGGTGTGCTTCTTACCCTTACCCTTCTTCACCTGGGGTTCAGCAGCGGGCTTAACCTTAGCCTTAGCCTTAGCCTCATGGGCCTGGCTGTGCTTCTTGGCTTCGGCTTGCATCTCAGTGAACTTGAGGTAGGCGGCCAAGTTGGTGGCAGTGGTCATCGCCTCCTTCAGCAAGGGGTCGTCGGGCCCCAAAAGCTTGACGAAAATGTCGCCGGCGTGGGCAAAGTACTTCTGCGCCGCGGCGTACTCGTCGGTAGAGATGTTGACGACGATGTTGGCCAAGCGGTAGTAGATGAACCCGGTCATTTCCGACACGTCCCCGTGGACGCGGATCAGCAGCTCAAGGCACAGCGCCATCACCTCGGCGGCGGCGGTGAGGTAGCGCTGGTGCACCAACGAGTCGGCGAACAGCGTCAACGTCGAGATCACCGCGGGGTGGTCGGCAGTGCCGTAGATGTCGGCAATCACCGACACGGCGTGGCGGTACATCTTGAGGGCGTTGGCGATGCCGTCGGCACCGCCGGTTTGCGCTTCCAAGTAGGCGGCGTTGATGTAGGCTCTGACCAGGTCGAACGAGTCGGGACCGAACGTGCGCTCAGCAACAGCAATCGCCTTACGAGCCATGGCGGCGGCCCGGATCGAAGTAGCATCAACTTCGCCGAACAGCTGCGACATGTTGAGGTAGAACTGCGCCGTTTCCTTGTGAACACGCGAGTACATTTGTTCCTCGATGGTGACCAAGTCGCCCAAGATTTGCGAGCCGATCTCCTTGTCTTCGTTGGCGATGTGGGCGCGGGCAGAAGCGTACAACTCGTCAACAAGCTGCGCCTTGTATTGCGAGTCCTTGATCACGGGGACAAAGGCCAAGATGTCCAGGGCGACAAAAGTCAGAGTGCGGGTTTCAGCCACTTGTTCAACCTTAGCCGATTGCTTCTTACCCTTCTTCTTGTCCTTCTTGCCGTTCTTGGCGGAAGCAGCGGCAGCTTCGGGTTCAGGCGACGCCAGCGCTTGCTTGGCGGCGTCGAACGCTTGCTGAGTGAAGGCGTAGTCCTGAGCCTTCCATTGGATACCGAACTTGATAGCAATCTCTCTCAACAACACTTGAGCAGGCACTTGTTGGCGCCAGTCGTCGGGGAGTTGGAAGCGGAATCTTTGAAGAACCACTTGCTTGATCAATTGCGACACCTTAGCAGCGTCCAACTCAAAGAACGCTTGCTGTTCGGGGAACAACGCCTTGGTGGTGGCGTCCAATTCCACGGTACCAGTAACTTCCAGCAAGAGACAGTTGTGGAAGTGGGCCACAAACGCCGCGTAGAGAGGCTTGGGCACGTCGGCGCCGAGCGAGCGCAACACGTGCTTGGCGGCACGCGACACCATTTCTTGAACGGCCAACCGGTACACGGTGGTGTAGTTGGCGACGGCACCGTGGAAAGTAGCCTTAGTATCCTCGATCTTGTGGTCTTCAGGCTTCTCTTCCTCTTCTTCCTTTTCTTCGACAGGAGGTTCCTTACCTTCCTTCAATGCTTGGGCACGAGCTTCGGCAAGGTCGGCGCGGCGCTTCTTTTCCGCTTCCAACTTAGCTTCTTGTTCCTTTTGCACTTCTTCGGCACGAGCGACGTTAACCTTGATTTGCTCGGCTTCGACGGAGTGGTGGGCGGCGAGCGCCGCTTGGATCTCGTCGGCGATGAAACCAAGGTAGCGCATGTTGATACCGCGGTCGTGCAATTGACGGGTCAAGTTAGCACCGTCGAAAGGAGCCACCATTTGCGGGATGGCCTTAACCCATTCGCCGATAAGGGTTTCCTTGACGAACTTAGACACGGCGCGAACGTCGGCTTCGTCTTCGGGCGACGTCTTAACGCCAGGAGCGAAAGCGTCAGGGTTAAGCAAGAACTTGTTGGCAAGGTCGGGAGTGGGTTCGCCTTCCTTGACCCCCTTGAGGAGCTCGGAGACGTTTTGGCGCCACCACAAGTCGACGGCTTCAAGACGCAAGAGCGGCTCAGCGTGAGGGTACAGCGACTCGGGGTTCTTGGGGTCCCAGTGGGCTTCGATGAACTCAATGTCGCGGGGGGTGGCGCGGAAAGTGTCGATCAAATACTTTCTTTGGTCGGTACCGTTGATCCCCTTGAAGTCTTGCGACACCACAAGCTTCTTGTCGCCGACGGTGTGAGGCTTCAAGTGCAACATTTCAGCCACTCTCTTGAGCGGTTCCTCGAACGAAGGGTCGGCTTCCACCACCAGCTTGTCCAGCGACAACCCGTAGACGACACGTTCTTCCGCTTCGACGTCTTCGGGCGGTTGGCTAAAGATACCGGGGACGGGGGCCTGAGCAATGACACGGTGGCCCATGTAGTCGACAGCACAGGTGGCCACGGTGTGGACGTCTTGGCCCAGCACCAGCGTCATCAACTTGTTGAGCACTTGCACGGTGCTCAAGTCCTTACCGCTCAAGTACCAGGCTGCGGCGTCGCCACCGGTTTCCGGGTAGTTGTCAACGTCAACGCCACCGTTAGAGTAGAAGATGCCGTTGCGCAAGTAGATCTGGCGTCTGGCTTCGTCGTCGGGGTTCATGGCGGGGACGTTTTCGTGGATGATGTTCACCAGCTCGTGAGTGGCAGCGACGGAGAATTCGTGCAAAGTCTTGAGCAAGAGGTGTTCTCTCAACACTCTTTCTTCGATCAGCAGCGTCGGCAATTCCTTAACCGCTTGCACTTCTTCGTTCCAGTCCTTGACGTAGTCGGCGCCGTCAACGCCGTTAGCGATGAGGGGCAATTGCAGACGCGAAATGTCGGGCTTAATCGCTTGAGCGTGGGCTTCGGCGACCCAGGGGCAGGCAGTGAAGCCGGCAGTGGGCAAGAAGTAGGTTTCTGGCAAGTCCGTCAGCAGGGTCAAAGTGGCGTCGAATGCCTCGAGCGCCGGCTCAAACTGCGCCAGCAACTTGGCGACAAGGTTGTACAAGAGGTACTCCTTGTGGAACTTCCCCTTTTCGTTCACTTTAAGCAGAGGGTTGAAGGTGTGGTTCAGGCATTGGTTGACGAAAAAACCCAGCACGTGACAGGTGATGTTAAACGTCTCTTCTTCCAACGTCTGGATGGTCAAGTAGAGCAAGTCACCCTTAAGACGTTGTTGAGCGGGGACCGGCAGCCATTGCAGCACCATGATCGAGCGGATGGGGCACTTCAATTGGTCGACGGTGGTGGCGTAGGCGGCCTGTTGCTGCAACGACAGCGGCTCGGGAATAGCGGTAACCAGTTGCAAGAGTTCCTGTTCGGTTTCCAGCAACTTCTTTGCCGGCTGGTCCTCCTTTTTATCCAGTTCTTCTTCGACGGCCTTCTTGGCCTCTTCCTCTTCAGTAGGGCCGCCGACGGGCTTCAAACCGAGCGTGTTGATCTTGGACGCCCCCAGCTGCACCGACAAGTCGTTCAGCACCCGGTCCAAGTAGTGCAACCCCACCGTCTGGCGGAACTTGGTGATCTGGTCGTACACCGCCAGCAACGTGTAAGGCTTTTCCTTGATCGCCACGTCGACGCCGTCGCCACCAATATCACCGAACACGGTGTCGTCGGTCACTTCGGCACCGCCAATGACCACGCGGTAGTGGGTCAAGTTGCGGGCGACGGGGAGGGCGGCGAGGTACTGGCGCAAGTCGCCCACCAGCTGGTCGCCGGTGAAGGGGATCTCGACTTTGTCGGCGGCGGTGACACACTCGGGGAGCGTCACCCGCACGTTGATCACGGGGACGGCGGTGGCTTCTTCCGCGGCCTCCAGCATCACTAAAAGGTGTGGGTGTTCGTGAGGAGGGAGGGAGGTGGTCGAAAATTTTTCAGTGCGCACCGTTTGTGGGGACGGTTCCGTGGACGGTAACTTTGAAGAGGGGAATACTGTGGCTCGGACATAGGACCAGGGGAGGCGAGATAGGTAGTATTAAAGGGACACGAGTGAACCTTAAGTCTTAGGCAGTACGTTATAGGTAATAGTGATACGTCGTTTGCTATCGTGATGACCATGAGTCATCATCGGCAGAGTATTGACATCATTGGCTAACTTGAATTGATTTCAATTGGGTATCCTTCGCCTAATTAAGGGTAACAATACGGTGATCGACTCCATTTTTGCTTTGGGCAACGGGATTTACCGAGTGGCTCGTTGATGCGAAGGATCCGAGACAGTAGTGTCACATCACATACTTGATGGTAGTTTTTTTGGTCAATTACAATTAGTATGCTCTACGGTTTTCAATTGACCATACATCCGATAAATTTTGTAAGTGACACAGAATTTACGAGATTGTGGGGGAGGCGCGATGAACAGGGAGCGCCTAACTCCGAAGACACCCGTCGGCATTCTCCGGATCACAAAGACGCAGTGAATCAACTAGATGTAATCTATATAGAGAACACAACAATAACTAAATGACCTAATTGTTAGTTTTTGCCGAAGGAGAATGACGTTAAATGAGTCATGGGCCATTATGGTTATATGCCGGAACCATCGAGTGGAGTCCCCTAACAGTCGCAACTCACATTAGACAGGAATTATTTGATTTCGAGGATTGCCTGTGGCCATGAAGAATACAAGTTCTGATAGTCACGAACTCCTAAGTTTTAAAACAAATCTTTCACCCCCGCTGGTATTTGTGTAGTTAATGACTAATCTGCCTAAATTTAAAAACGGTCCATTCATCTTACTATTTTAATTCAATGTAGACACAAGAGTCACTGCTTACCCGCCTAAATTAATAATGTCATTCACGGGAATTGAACTAGGTATTTTCAGTCAAAACTCATAGAGGGAATTAATTGGAGGGTTTGGTTGATTGATTGGTGAATCTAAGAACACTTTCCATCATTTACCAAAATAGCCACACTTCTATTGTGTACTGCTTCACTTCTATTGTATATTGCTTCGATTCATACTCCCATCGAATTAATTTTGATGGTTTGGGCATATTGCGTACTAACAACGTTAGAACCGTCATTAGTGTGACTTTTAGGTCCTTAAACAACAAGTACATGGAAGCAATACAAGAACACTTAGGAGCACTGAGTCACAGTATAGATCGACAGAGAAATCAGTGATGTCTTCTGCGTCTTGCATTTAAACACCAACCCTGCATACAATCAAAGGTGCATATGTAGTGAACATCAAGACAATCTTTATAGCCCCAACCACCGCTGAGAGCAGTCAGAAGCGTAGGGAATATTCAGGATTGCTCAAACTTTCGATGGAAAACCAAAAAAGAAAAAAATGGAAAAACAGTTGAAAACAATTACAAAGGGTGATATAAAATTAGGAAAAATTGCTAGAGTCAATCTGATTGCTCCAAAACATTCTTTGATACTGAAAGTATAGTAGATAAATAATTGGGCAAGTTCACGTCATAACTGGTGGATCTACAACAAATTTCACATAGTTGAGGTACCTATAAAAACTTTTTTTTTTTTTTTGGCAATTTTCTTTTTCGGACCGCTATGCGTCTGTAGCGTAGTCTATTACATTCAGTGAGCATTGAAACTGACCTGTGATGTTTGTAACAATGAAGAGAGAAGTTTATTTCCTCATCAATGTAGATTGTCTATATGCAGGTGTATCAAGAGAGCTGCGGAACACCACAATTTGAGCTGAAATATGAGATTCCAGAATTTCTAGCACTATTTATTCAGCATCATTATAATTTATGAGCATGTCTATTCAATTTGACACGTTTTTTAGGGGTTGACACAAGGACAAATCATGCTTGCAAATCGGCCTACATATAAGTGTTGCGTCTACATATCATATGTACGCTTTTTACCTTACATTTTGGTCGTGTAAACCACTTCATTGGAGATAACTACTGTCATGTACACTGTTCAAATGATAAGCGAGATAGCAAAAACATATTATCAGAATTTTTTTCGAAAAATAAAAAAAATTCTAATAAAATCACGGAAAGTCGAGAAGAGTTCTATACAACTTGATAATTTTCTTTGGCGTCTAAAGTATAGTTAATGTGTTTCTGGGCAAGTCAACGTTGGATTTAAAGTAGTTAAGGCAATGTTGAAAATATAGGATAAAAAAGAAGGGTAAAAACGTCCTTTTTGTTACATAGATATTATCTATGTGTACATGGGTGGGTTATTGTGAGAAGCAGAGAAGTTCAAGCAATATTAACTTACTTCCGTTATATATAGGATATAGGGATATTTTGCCGATAATTACTGTGCAGGAATGATCGGTAATTGCAGGATCAATTGTCAGCCGAGAAGATTTCAAAAGCCGGTAGACGATAACATTATAAAAGCCGATAGCCGAGTGAAAGTCGACTTCGTTACAATAGGTTCATCAACTCGCTGACACGTGAGAACTTTGATTGAGTACATGGTAAAAAATAAACTTTACAAAGTGTTTTCAGTGCAACAATGTTGTAGGCTTTCATTTGCTCAAGGCGAGCTTCGGCGGCCTTATCTGGCCCCACTAGCGCCCTGCATTTGCACAAAGCGTCTGTTTAGTTCTCTCCATTAAGGTTCGGGTAGTCTAAATAGCTTGTCCATGGCGGAATAATCTAGCTGGATTATTGATTTGATGCGGAGTATTTTGAACACTCAATACGTCGTCAACTTAGAGGGAAAAAGTCGGAAATAAAGAACGTACCCAGCATACTTCCTTGGCGAGAAGTACTTATTCATTGGCTTGCGTTAACTAGTGAAGTTGGACTGAAGATGGTGGAACTCGCACTCGGTAGTACTTGACGTCCGGACAGGTTCATATAGTATTATTCATGATCATTCGTAAAATTAAACTTAGCATAGCCCCTAATTATTGCTAATTACTCAACATCATCCAAAGCCTCTTGCATCTTCGCTGACCCCAACTTCTTGATTAACTCAAGGCCATATTGAGGAATCTTGGTATTCTTCAGGTCCAAGGCATAAACGTCCTTATCAAGTTTGCCCCCGTACTTCTTGGGCAACTCCGGGAACGCGTCTTCCGCCGCCAAATTGGTCCCCGAGATGACGTTGAACTTCTTAAGTGTTTCCTTGTTGATAATCCCCACGGTCTTCAAGAAGGAGAAGACCCAACTCATAAACACAGGAACGCCGACGAAAAACTTGGTCGATAAAAGCTCAGGGTAGTTGTGGCCGAAAATCTCGATGATTTCCTTGGTATTCTGCTTTTGCTTCTTTTCCATACGGAAGATCGAGACGCCAGTGTAGTCGTGGATCTGAGCTAACTTGTCGTTGGTGACGTCGGTGAAGTCCAAGAGCGACACCGCCCGTTCCATCAATCCGATTCTCCACCGTAAGAACTGGGACCCCGGCTTATCGGAAGTCTTGTCGCCAAATTCACCAAAGAGCTTAGACAACGATTGCATGTTCCCGTACAAGTTGAACGTAGCCACCTTTAAGTTCGGTTTGCCGTTAGGGAACTCAGTGATGACCCCAAGCTTGGTGAGTCCCTCATTGTGTTTCTCATCCCAAGCGGCAGAAAGCGGCTGGAACTTATTCCGCCAGTTCAACGTGTTCTTGAGTCTGGCGGCGGCGGTGGCAACCTCAAACTCGTCCGCCTTCAAGAACTTGAGCAAGATCTCGTTTCTGATCACTTCGTCAACAAATTCTTTGTCGGCAGTATTGATGCGGTAGCCAAACACCTCGTCATATTCGGGGTTATCCAACAGTTTGAGGATCTTGGGGATCTGGGCGATGAGCTGAGCCAACTTGGCCGATTCGCTCAGGGTCAACTTGGTCACAGTCTTGGGAGCGGGAGCCAGCAGTTTTTCGTCCTTGGTAGTAGCGGCGGGCTTTGCTTCCGGCTCACCAGAGGGGATCGGTGTGGCCTTAGTCGAGGCCAGTTTCACGTCATTAGACACGCCAGTGTCGACGGTATTGCCCGTAGCGCTGTCGGGAGCCTCCACTTTCGTCGCTGGCACGTCCTCAACCGGTGTGGCAGCTACAGCAGACATGGCTTGTTTGTGGTAAGCAAGGGGCGTGGGAGGCGACACGGTGGCTCACGCGTTTTTCTTATATGCGCCAAACACGGCTGGGCTCGCTTCCCCAAATTTTCGCACCACCCCGATTTTTTTTTCGTTTGGTGCGTGTGAGTGGCTGACAACTACCAGGGCTGTCCGGTCTCGGCTTCTTGGCACTGTGAAAACGATATAAGAAAAAGGCTGTGCTTCGGAGATGTCGGTGTTGGCAGTCCAGCGTAGCTGTAATTAAGGCTGGTAGGCTTTGAGTTCAATCAGGAAGGTCTAAACAAGGATCAGTCGTCATCATATCTAAACACGGGGGAGGGGTTAAAATGGTACAAACTTGAAAGCGTACCCTAATCGACTGATTAGCCTATTATTTTATTTTCTATGTGTGAAGTGGGCCAATTGTGTAAAAAAACGTGTTTGTTATTGTTGAGAATCGGGTCCACCGGGATTCTCTGTAGAACTGGAAAGGTTCTCATATTGGTTCTCCGACTTGCGGTCAGATTGTTTGGGGGGCATTCTGTAGTACAGGTACAGTAATCCGAGGAGTGTTAAGCAAAGGCTTAAAGGTAACAAATGTAGTAATAAAAGTATATAGGTAGATCCAGATCCATTCTAATTGATTTTCCCAGGATAATGCATGTGTTGTTGTCAACATGTATATGCAGTCCAGGGGTAAACGCCACAGTGCGTGGTTATAGACCGAATAGTGATTTGGCTCTGGCAAATCACGTGTAGTGGAAACACGGTGCCACAACAGTTATTGTTTAGTATAGCTCGTGTTGGTAGGAGGGGAAGACGTACGTGGTGTTATCTAAACCATCAGAAAGCATCGTGCTGAGATGATGACGCCGATGCTGTGCTTTTTCACCGCTGGTGTCGCCTATGTGCAGGACGGCAATAATCCCAACCCCTAAATACTTCAACTCACTGATTACCACTTAAACGAACAATTATTCCAAATACTGAATTTATCACTGATTACATCTGGTTGATTAATCACCCCCGATGAACTTGTTTCACCGATTAATTGCTACCTTTGATTCAATTAAGGGGCATGGTCATTCGCAGTGGTCATATAAGGTGCGAGAGGGCTAAAGGGGAGCTCCCTACTGTCTCAGGGGGTTATGGGAGCCACCCGGGGATCAGGCCAAGAGATCCCCCTCCGTGGAAACGGTGGGGAGGCCCCCCAAACCTGTCACCCCCTAATTACCTCAGCTTGTCATCATTTTACGACGTGCCAAGCTTTCATCGAAATGTCGATCAAAAATGCACTCAAACAACCACGCCAGGGTCTGGTACCTATCTTACATATACGGGGCCTGTCTAGACACCTCACATTACGTGCGTTTAGCCGGTCTGTACGTTTGATGGGCGCAAAGCGTCCGCACCCCCGACGATTCCGAATCGGGTGATGTCGGCCCACTGCCACCAGTGACGGGGGCCGTTTGTGGTGTCGTTGCCATCGCCGTCATGCCTTGGCAATGTCGGCTGCGCCACCGGGAGCGACACCACGTTTTATTGTCTCAGGGAGCCATCGTGGGATCACCAGGAGGCGTCTATCCCCATTAGGAAATTCGGCGGATCCACCCTTCCGAAGCGCCACAGACCCGCCAGCACTCAAATCGCTATACTAGAGTCATCCGGTTGCCCTACTAACCCCTAAACACTTGCTTTACCGTCCCCTTTTCCCTATATCTGGCTCTTCCTCGGAACTCCCGCCCCTGGCTCGGAAGCACTGGGTCGCCGCGAAAACACCCCCCAGACGGGCAGCGCAGGCTGCCCTGCACACACGCTATCAACGGCTCCGAAACAATGCGCGCACCATAAATACCTAGCCATAACTCCGCCAACCCCACCAGGCCTCCTAAACAATCCCCACGCCCCCCCTCACAACTTCCTTAAGAGACGATGTCGTTTTCCATCGGGCTGGAGTTGGTGAGCCAGTTCACCCAGGCGTGGACGCCGAAAACGATGCCGACGCTGACGCTGCTCAGCTACGTCGACCCCACCCTCATCCCGCTGCTCATGGAACAGCTCGCCGCCATCACTCTGCTGGCGTTTCATGCTACCGCGACTGCCGACGTGCTTGAGCTTCAACGGTCGTTTCGAGCGTGTGAGGCGCTGCTCACGATTGCCCTGGGCCAAGGGTTCATCGCCACCGCCCATATTTTGGACCCGAGACGCCAGTACGCCACTCAGGCGGTGTTTAATGCTACCTTGAACTTGGTCAATTTGGAGAATAACGATAACTTCTACGGCACCCGCTTAACTCTAGGGGGTAACGTGTTGTTCACGGTGCTTTTCGCCCTTCTTTTCGTCTACCACACCGCGATGATGATCTGGCTGAAACACGTCTATTTCGGCGTGTGCATGTTCTGCGGCGTCGGCCTCGAGTTCGCCGGCTACCTCGCCCGCTCGCTTGCCGCCAACGACTTGCTCAACGAGGACGACTTCCTCTGTCAGATCATCTGTCTCACCATCGCCCCCGCGTTCATTATGGGGGGCATCTACTACCTTTTGGCGCAGATGCTCATCGTCTACGGCCGGAAATACGCCCTCCTAAAGCCGATGTGGTTTCTGTATATCTTTATCTTTTGTGATGTCGCCTCATTGGTGATCCAGGCCGCCGGCGGTGGTATCGCCGCCACCGCGTTAGCTGACTTCAAACTGACCGACGCCGGCACCCACGTGATGGTGGCGGGGATCGCGTGGCAAGTGTTCTCAATGCTGGTGTTCCTCATCCTTCTTTTGGACTGGATGTACCGCATCTTCTTCCGGCTGAGTCCCGAAATCAAATTCTCGTTTGGCAACTTCTTCCACCTCCTATTTAACACGAAAAAGGGCCGCGCCATCAAACAGGCCCAGGAGCCCTACTTCAACCCCAAGTACCACGAGGTGCGCCTGCGCAAAGTGTTTGGCTGGTCGCCGCTCATCATCTTGGTGTCGGTGCTTTTCATCTACGTGCGGTGTATTTACCGGGTGATCGAGCTTGCCGAAGGGTGGAGCGGCTTCCTCATCACCCACGAGGCCTACATTTTGACGTTAGACGCACTGATGGTGTTCCTCGGCTGTCTCGTGTACTTCCCCTTCCACCCCGTGGTGCTCTTCGGCCGCCGCGACGACTTGACGCTCCTGACGATCAAGAAGCGCTACGACGAACATAAGCACGCCCACGACGACCCGCAGGGGGGGCTCAAACTGGACTCCGAGTTCTTCTTCCAGAATACCCACTTTGACTCGTTGGAATCAACCAAAACCCCGTCATATTAGACACTGTCATCACCCCTCGGTAAACTCAATAATATAGACTAGCATAATGTACACAAAATCCGTCGAAGAATTCATTGGGACAGTTTTCTTCACTATATCATTTTCAGGTTGTAAAATGGATTCTTGATCGTTTGTCGATGGCAATCTCCAATCATATAGCTTCCATAATCGCTTTTCAAAATTATACATCAAATTTAATCGCAAGGCCAATTGATGATGAAGACATGGTATTCGGCTCTAAGAGTATCCCAGATTGAGATTTTGTGCTTTTGTCAATTATCATCAAAGGTTGTCAATAATCGAGAAAACTGAAGTTCGAGTCTTCACCAGAGTATAATATCGAGTATACTATTTTCGAATCACTTAGAGTATTGTTGTATTAGTCTGAAGAAGTATCCCCTCTATTTACATTAGTTACTTTCCCCCGGGGGCAATCTTAAAGCATAAGATATCGTTTTTGCCCACGTCCACGGTATCTTCTTCGCCCACTTTCACGCCGCCTACGCCTTCAATGTGGGCAATAGTGACGTCACCCATGATCTTGCGGGCGACATTAATCACCGGTGTACCCCGTTTCACCAATAAACAGTCCTTAAACGCTCCGCCGTCTCCCAGCAGAAACGAGTTGATGTTACGTACAGGGTACACGGGGACCAACTCGAGAAGTTCTGCGGCCGCTTTAAGAAGGTCCACCACCCCAGTAGAGCCAAACCGGTACAATACAAGGTCTCTGACGTTCTCTATCCGGTTACGGATCTTATCATCAATCTCTTTAAGTCCCAGTTCCGGGCCCAAATCGTCAATGGTATCGACAAACTCAGTGCCTGGTTCGTATTTGATATAGTTTTGATCAGCGAGTTTTCGTAGGAACACTTCAGTGATGGACAGAGTCAAAATTGTCTTTGAGTCAGGGTATTTGAGGATGATCTTCAGCACGTTTTTATCGGCATCCGGGTGGTCCATTTTGTTTAATGAAAGCACGGTGGGGAACTTAACGTCCATAAAACACCGCACGACGTCCTCAATGGTGTCCTGGTCCCATTTCTCCAATGGCGGTAACGGGGTGCCGTGTACTTCAGGGTAGCGGTCTAACGCTTTGCCAATAAGCTTTTTGTTAGCAGAGTACCCGCCCAATTGCTGGCGAAGCGTCTCCAACGCCGTCAGCTTTGTGGCGATGTGGCGTTTCACCACCAGCGGCCACTTGTCCATCAAATTGCCCAAAATCCACCGGAAAATCTCTTCTTGCAACCACTCAATGTCTTTCAAAGGGTCGTAGCCTCGAGTAGCTTTACCTTCGGCATCGGTACAGCCGCTGGCGTCGACAATATGGATGAGACAGTCGGCCTCGGTTAAGTCGCTCAAAAACTTATTGCCGAGCCCCCGACCAAGATGGGCGTTGGGCACCAAGCCGGCAACATCCAAAAGCATGATGGGGACGCCTCGTTTGCCGTCTCGGCAATAGCCATAGGTCGGCAGACACTCCTCTTGCTTGCCTACTCTAGCACAGGCGCAGTCGACCTCTAGGTAGCCGGTGGCTTTATTGGGGTCGATAGTAGTGAAAGGGAACGCGCCCACTTTGGCGTTAGCATCGGTAAGTGAGTTTAACGTGGTGGACTTGCCGCTGGAGGGCTTGCCGACCAACCCAATGACGACCATGATGGCTCTCGACGGGAGCGAGGGGCGGGGCACATAACTGAAAATGCTAGCAGTGCGAGGAGAGAGACACTGTGAGACACTATGTGTAGGAAACAAGTCAGTGAGAAACGAGTGAGAAAAACGAGGTACGAGAAATCTTCATGTGAAAATCAACGATGATAAACCTGAAATAAAAAGAAAAAAAAACAAATAGGTCTTGACATCACCTAATCTTGTGTTATTTGTGTCACTTGTCTATCTTAGTACCACCCTTGTCCTGTTTTCGTTTTTCAGCCTCGCTGGGACGCGCGCGCGCGAAAAACACACGTAGACGGAGGTGACCCTTGTTTCCCCCATAATTTGCAGGCTCCATGTCGTTCTTACTGATCTTCTGGAACGGGTTTTCCGAGGACTTTAAGAAGAAGAATTTCCTGTTGTACGGCCAATGGCTCGGCATCATCGGCATCTTCCTCTGCATCGCCCTCGGCGTCGCCAACTTGGTGGGGCTGTTTATACCGCCGTCCCCCGGGATCACGGTGTTCTCGATCATCTGCATCGTCCAAGGGCTCGTGGTGATGTTTGTCGAGATCCCGTTTTTCCTCAAGATCTGTCCCATGACGGAGAAGTTCATCAATTTCATCAAATTGTTCGACTCCAACATGAACCGGTTTGGCTTCTATCTCTTGAACGCCGCCCTCCAGTACTTGACGCTTTTGTTTAAGGCGACGCTGTTGCTCACCGTCGCCATCTGGTTCACCATCACCTCGGGGTGCTACGTGTTGGCGATGTTGAAGCACCAGGAGTTTGAGACGACCCAGTTGGGGTCGGCGGAGACGCGCCAGGAGTTTGGCCAGGAGGCGGTGCGCAACGTCCTCTAGATATGATATATTACCTACTTACGTTTCAGTAATTCTTTATCCTTTTTTCACGATTGTCTTTTTCGTTCTTTTAGTTTCCAGCTTCCCTCGTGTATAGTGATTACATAATCAACACGAAAAAGAAAAAATTCACTCCGAATAAAAAACGGTTACAGCGCGCTGCTAATATCCATCATCACTATACCACTCCACAGCCATGGCCACCGCCGCTACCGAGCTTAGGAAAGAAGATACCCCACGCGCTCCCACGCCACCAAGCCATAACCAGGCCTTGAGTCTCGACCAGGTGAGCGCCGACCCGGACGAGCTCATCGAGCTCCGCGGCGAGGGCCGCTACTTCGGCGTCACCGACCCGGAGCTGGGCGACCGCATCAACGCCCAGCAGCTGCTTGGCCAGCTCTGCAGCAACTGCCACCGCCGAGGCCACAGCCGCGCCAAGTGCAAGACGGTGGTGTGCCACAAATGCGGCAAAATCGACGACCACTACGAATCGAAATGTCCCACCCACATGGTGTGCTATAAGTGCGGCGGCATGGGCCACCACCAGTCCGAGTGCACGGTGAAACACGCCAAGCGCAAGTACTGTCAGGACTGCGAGACCTTCGACCACGGGAGCAACTTGTGTCCGCTTATATGGCGCAGTTACCGAGTCAACGGCAGCGCCGAGCCCAAGCGGCTCCCAAACATTTCGTGCTATAACTGCGGCAGCAGCGTCCACTACGGCGACGAGTGTGGCGACTACCGCCACTCGCCGCTCGCGGCGACGGGGCTGGCGTTCCTGGGGAACAACTTGCCCCGCAGTCTCCGGCGCACTTATTTCGACCAAGTGGACGAGCTCCCGCCGAAACCGAAGCGGCAAAACACTCACTTCCTGTTTGCTACTCCCCTGCCCAACGGCTCGCGTCCCCTGACTCCGTCTAACGGCCGCAACAACCACAACCAGCGCAATTTCACTCGCTTTGGCCACATCAATAATAACAACAACAATAACAGCAACGGCCGCGACTTCCAGGCACTGAAACCGCTGCTGAAACACCATAACCACCACAAGCCTGCTCCCCAGCGGCTGGGGACGATATCACGGCCCTCGGGGCCGAAGGCGTCGGCGCCGAAACCGCTGCGCCTGGGCAAGATCAAGCTCGGCAAGTTCCAATACTAATACGCCAACGACGATGAATTTATGGACTTTTGGAGTTTACTACGGGGATATTTATAGACTGTACTACTATATAAATAACTTATTTATGTTAGTATAACGATGTGACGGTAAATCTCTTTGTACAGCGTGTCATCTTTATGCAAAGACAATGATACTCTTCTCTGTATTCTTAAAATTGACAATTAAATATCTGAATGTGTAGTGCTCCCCGCACTGGTCATCGCGCACTGATTTCCTTATCGGATATAGTGCGACGAGATGGCTCGGAGTAAAGGCAAGGGCAAGGCGAAGAAGAACGCCGCCGTCACCGAGCTCGAGCTGCTGGTGTACCCCATTTTGGAAGTGGAGTTCCCCGACCCGCTTTTCGCCTGCGCCGCCCACCCGACGAAGCCGTGGATCGCGCTGGGGCTCGCCACGGGGCACGTCTACATGACCGAATACGACCCCGAGGCGTTGGAACTGGCGGCGGAACTGGCCAAGGCCGCCGCCAAGTACAACACGGCGCTGGTGAGCGGCACCTCGACCAAGTGGTGGGCGTGTGTCGACCTGCCGGCGCCCTCAGACCAGCCTCATCTCACCAGTCTCTGGAAGACGCGGCGCCACAAGGGGGCGTGCCGCCACATTGTGTTTGACCCGCTTGATGAGGGGGCCAGCATCTATACCGTGGGCAGCGACCACGTCATCAAAAAGGCCGAGTCGGCCACGGGGAAAGTGACGGCGAAGATCGACGTCAAACCCCACTTCGTCACCGACGCCGACGCCGTCACCCGCCTCTGTGCGTCGCCGGTGCTCCCCATCGTTGTCGTCGGTACCGAGGCCGGCCACGTGTTGGTGTTCGACAACAAGCTCACCAAGCTCCAGTACACGGTGGAGGCGGCGCACGACGACGCCGTCAACGCCATCCTCGCGATGCCCGCCGTGAGCAACTACCACTTCTTGACGCTCGGGCTGACGACGCTCAGCCACATCGACATCCGCAAGGGGATCGTCACCCAGCTGGACGACCAGAGCGACGAGTTGTTGGCGATGGCGTTCCCGTCGGACTTTGTCCGCGAGAACAAGAACGACACCGTGCTTGTCGCCCACGGCGAGGGGATCGTCACCATCTGGAAGCAGCTGAAGAACCGGTTGATGGACCAATTGTCAAGAATCAAGCTCAGCAAGGGGGTGTCGGTCGACACCATCATCAGCACCATGAACAACGACGACGAAGGCGCCAACCCCCCCGTCGACTGTATGTGGTGCGGCGACTCGGAGGGGCTCTTGTACAAAGTGAACTACAAGCGGGGCCGCGTGGTGGAGACGCGGGTGCACTCGTTCGCCGACGAGGTGGGGTATTTGGACATCGACTGCGGCTACCGGTTGGTGAGTGCGGGCATGGAACGCTTGAAGGTGTGGCTGGTCAAGGAGCCCGAGGAGATCAGGGAGGCCGAA